AGAAGGGCAAATACCACATAATTTCACTTACATGTGGAGTCTGAAAAAAGAACAACCTACAAATGAACAAGACAGAATGTGTTGATGGTTGTTAGAAGACAGAATGTGTTGATGGTTGTTAGACTGTGGGGGGGGGAGGTTGTTGGGTAAAAAAGAAGGGATTAAGGTTTAAAAATTGCTAGTTATAAAAACAGTCATGAGGGTATAAAGTACAGCACTGGAAACATAGTCAATAATATCGTAATAACTATGTATGACATCAAATGGGAACTAATCAGAGTGATCACTTCCTAAGCTATATGAATGTCTAATCACTAGGTTGTATACCTGAAATTAATATTGTATGTCAACTGTAATTTAAAAATTAAGAAAAAAAACCCACCCCTCAACATCCAAAACACTCACCTTATAATAGGAAAGGATAAAGGATGTCTTGAAGGGTAGAGAGTATAATGATACGGAGTATGAAGGCAGGCATTTCATTAGCCAAGGATGATAGAGATAAGATTTCTTAGTAGGTTCACAGCATCATTGTTGTTATTAAGAAAACAATAATGACAACTACCACACATCACAATGAGAATAATGATAGGTAACACTCCTACAGAAATTGCCCAGGATTGCTGTAAGGACTTGACATATAGTGACCCATGTAATCCTTATCACGGCCACTTGGTTCCACAGTCTGTGTTCTTAACCATAATACACTGCCCACCTCCATTCTGGAATGCTGAGCAAGTTACTTAACCTCTCTGTACCTCCATTTCCTCATTTATAAAATGAGGACACTAATAGCACTTACCTCAGATGATAAAGATGAAATAACACATTTGTTTAGCACCTAGAACAGTGACTGACATATAGCAAGTACTTTACATATAGTTTTTAATATAAAGGTCATTTCAACCTTTAAGAACATTTTTTATTGAATGGCAAGTTAGGGAAAGCATAAAGAACTTTCTTGGCTACAGTGTGCAATATGACTCATTTTTTTTTTTTTTTATCAAATAAGTGGAACCCAAGGCTCGCTGATGTAGGATTGACTTTCCAACTAAAGAAAATTAGCCATGAAAAACATGGGCAAAACCGCTAAAGTGGGAGTTCTGCAGGGAAATCAGACTCTCTGTATACTCTGCCATGGCTGATTGTAAGGTAAGACCTTGCAAGAAATATCCAAGAACCCACTGCTGACTTCTATTACCATCCCCAAGGCCTTGGTAAGTCATTCAACTCCGCTTTCAGCAGAATACTTAATTGCTTCACACACTGGACTTGACCTAGTGTACCTAGTACTTAACCAACTCTCAAACCAAGGTCAATCCAATCCACTTCTTTTGCACCTGCCATCCAGTGTGGCTCAATAAACCTTCTACTCATTTCTTTATAGAGTCTCAATAGAGGCAACATTTAAACCTTTTATTTCACTCAAGCTTCCAAGTCTACCCTTGTTCCACCCTCAAACATCATAGATTCCGCAATGATTGGAAAATAGAAGCATTCACATACAAATTCTTCTCACTTTTCATAACCTTTCCCCACACCCCTGAAATCCTGCAACAACATATCACTTCAGCACTTACTGATCTTTCCCTAGCTGTTTCATTCGCCTTTCCCTTCTTGGCCTCTCCCCTCCTCATGTGCTTCCAGACCTCCTCTCCAAGACCAACTCTTTCTTCTATTCCCTGAAGCTACCCAGGAAATGCAGGTGACATCGTCATCCTTGGTTTGTTGTTGTGGCAACTATCCCATGTCTCCGACCTCTCTCTTGGATCTTCAAACTCTTACTACTCACCTATTAACATGCCCATAAGAAAAAAAAAAAAGTCTAAATTGTGTTTCCTTCATAAGCCTTGACACTTTCCCCACTTTACTGCTAAGAGTACTCTCTTGCTATAGTATTTAACTGGTTGAACTAGTTACTGTGAATCACTGGAAGATAACCTGATACAGGTTATTCTTGATTCCACTCAATCTTTTAAGTATGCTTAAAGGTTCTGACATCCAGCAGCTGCAAATTTAGTGACCAAATTATTTTTTCCTACTTACATTGTGTTTTTTAACAAACATAACAAAAGAAAACATATACAGACATTTCTTATATATGACAAACTATACTGTAACTAAATGTTATGTGCTTTGGGACTTCTAACACAAAGTTTATAGATTAGCAATACTAATACCCAAAAAATGTTTTCTTCTTAAAGGATAATTCTTACATGATCTAAGTACTCACATTCTGGAGTACTTGTCTATATAAACTCTTAAGAGACTCATCTGATTTAAAACTTACTGCCTATATAGAAAAATAAGCTTCCAGGAATAAGGTTTCTGTTTCTCTGTACCTTCAAGAAAAAGGATCTGGCAAAATGGCCTAAAATAGGAGAGAACATAATATACATAACACGCAAGAAGCCAGCAAGGTGGGATACAGAAGACAAGAGGGAGAGAGGCAAGAGCTTTCTCCCACTGGGCCTGCTGGGCCAGAACCCCATCCTCTTGATATACCACAACACCGACAGGAAGCAAGTAAGAAGCTTCAAAGCTGGGAGAGGGATCAGATTAGCAATTTTAAAAGAATTACTCAAGTTGCTATATGGAGAGTAAGTGGGTAGCCACCCAGAGCAAGTGTGTGGGGGACAAATGGGAATTAGAAGGCAGCTTCAGAAACCTAAGAGGGAAATAATGGCATCCTGGATCAGGGTGGCAGCAGAGATGAAAGTAAGAAAATAGATTCTGGAAAATAAAATCGATGAGATTTGGAGAATGGTAAGATATGGGGGAAAGGAAGAGAGATGTAAATGACATGTTGGTTTCCTGCCTTTATATACATATACATACATGGAAATGTGGATTAACACATCTTGTACAATATATACAGAAATTACCTATGGGAAGGGAAGATGAATTTTATGTATTAAAAGGCAGACTTTCATCTTTTTACTGTATAGATACCTGCATTGTTTAATATCTTTATAATCATCAGGTATACATTATTTCAGTTAAATTCATATGCAATAAAAAGAAATAAAGCATCTGCCTGGTTGAAAAGGATAGAAATAGCATTTTAAGGAGAAGGAACGATCCATCCAAAAGTACAAACACATATAAGTACATGGCATATTTAAAGATTACCAAGTAGGCTAGTGTTTGCAGAGTAAGAAGGCAAGATGTCTGTTGAGGCAGGATGAACAGTGGATTAAAGCTTCTAAGAGTATGGCCAGTTCATTAAAAAAAGAAAGAAAAAAAAGATAGGAAATGGGGAAGCATATCTTTTTTAAGCAGGGGGGTGAAAACTCAAGTTCATATTTTAAAAAAGATCACTTTAAAGTCGATGTGAAGACTGGGCCAAAAGGGAAGTAAGAAAATAGGCAAGCAATTCACTTAGGCCATAACTTAAGCTAAATCAATGGCGATAGAGAGATAGAAAGGGAGATATTTGAGATTCATTTCAGAAGTAGACGGGACTTGGTGAGTTGGGTGTGCCAGACAGGGAAAAAGGAAAGTCAAGGATGTTTCCTATGGTTTCTAGTTGAGGAAGTTGGATGGTAGTGACACAATCAATTTAGGTAATTCAACAACAGGTTCAATGAGAAGACAATAAATTTTGCTTTAGAGATGCTGAGATTAAAGTACCTCTGGAAGCAGGTCAAGGTGCCCAACTGGAAGTTGGAGATACAGGCTTGAATTTGAGGAACAAGTCAGGAAGGGGTAATGAACACCATTACCTAAAAGAGAGAATTTTAAGCCTCTGCACATCATCTTACCCTTGACATAATTTTACTGAATCCTTGAGGTAACTTTTGAAAGTTGGCGAGTTCTGTTTATTCTCTCAGCTGTAAAAATTCCACGTAATTGTTAAAAATCTCTGTAGACAATAAAAAGCCAGAGCTTTTTGTCTTGGCCTCTTTTAGTCTTTTTATTTCTCCCCTGTTTTTTTCCTTTCTTTCTCTGTCTCTCTCTAGTTAAGGATGATATATGAAATATAATATAAAAAACATTGTTATTAAATATTTTCATATTTTGTCTTAATTGTAAAAGGCAAAGAAAAGTACAGTTCACAATTCTACCTTTAACAACACCTAAGTCAAATAATGATTTGCCTACGTGACTCTCCACGGATATTCTTTTCCAAGTCACTGACCCTTAATTAACTGATGTCCCCAAGGCACTCAACTCCAGGTGTAGCTTTAACCACAGAAGTTCCTGAAACAATTCCACAGTCCTGCTGTTGCTCACTGTCAGAAACCCGAGTCACACTGTACCTTTGTCTAACCAATGATGCGATGATGCCCTACTTTGGTGGGAGATGGAGAGGAAGGACCTGTTGGCAAGGAAACAGCTGTTTCCTTCCTCAGCCAGGGAAAACCAGGAAGGTGACAGATGGGCAAAGCAAAAAGAGCAGCCAAAAGTTGCTCTGGCTTCTTGTTGGCAATGATTTTTACTGAAGCAATGATTGGATATTTTAAAGCATATTAATGATTGAGAGTTTTATCTGCCTGGTGCTCTGCTGAAGTTCGACAGGACTTCCCACACATTGTCTACATTTTAAAAACTTTTAAGTTTGCAATGGTACAAAGTATCTGGCCTCAGTCTATGTACAGTGAATTAAGACTGCAAGACACTGTCCCATTTCACTTTAGGATTATACCCAAGAGAATGCAGTTTCTAGTTTTAAAAAAACGTTTTCTGTAGAGGAGTTATATTTGTACAACTTATTAGAATTACTATTAAATTTCATTTTAAAATGTTTTTCTTAAATGCTTACTTTTAGGTTTAATTTCAAAAGATTTGTTGCAAACGTTTATATCTTGTTCTTTATCATTCCCCCTCCCATCCACTTAAGTACCCAGAAAATTAAATATCCAAGGAATCCTGGATAAAACAGACAACCACTGAATTGATATGATATAACATATTTTAAAAATAGCGTAAATACGTAAGTTATTGTTCATCAAATAGAAATTAGCAATCACTAAAAATAACATTAAAATTAGTGTGGGCATGAAGTATGGAATTTTAAAACATCAGTTTACTACACTGATTAATTCAACATTTATATTTGCATCAGAACTTAATAATCCCATAAATAAATAGAGCTCTCAATTATTTTTTAAAAAATCAAGGGATAACATATGTATTTAGACATATTAGCAGCGTAAAGATGTATGCTTCAACACACTTATTGGGAAAACGTCTGAAAATATTACTACACTGAATTCAAGGGCATCCGCAGGAACCTGACATAAAAGTTCTCTAGAATATCAACAGTTCAGTAAATTCCAAAAAAGGGAAAGGGTCAAATAGGAAATAGACTCAAATTAATCGACAAAGTTCAGTGCTTGTTCCAACTTGATTTTTCTCTCCATTGCAAAACAAAACAAAACAAAACAAACAAACAAAAAACAACCGAGTCTCTAGCATGGGAGGGTGAGTCACTTAGATGAAAGTTCATCTACTGGAATAAAAGGAGAGGCCGCTTGGGCAGGTGACACCGGAGAGTCGGTGGTAGTGCTGACTTTCGCTGGTGAGTTACAAGAAGATCCAGCACTGCTGCTGTTTCCATCAAGGGTATCGGAAGATACACACACACCAGGCTCTGACAGCTGTGCAACATCAGAAGAAAGCATGTTGGTGATGCCCTGGAAAAATCTCTTTGGCTGATACTCAGTTTCCATTTCACATTTTCTTTTCAATGGTCCAAGAACACTTGGTCTGATGCAATTAATCGGACTCTGGCTTCTTCGAGTAGTAAATCGGGTCGTTGGGCTGGGAATAGGACTTGGAGGCAATCCGTTGCTACTCACAAAACTTTGCAAGGATGGTGAAAAACACTGCTTCCCAATTCCCCGGGTGGGAGATGGTGCTGGTGACACCGGAATGAAATCGATGCGCTTCGGGGAGGAGGATTTCTCCACATCGTTGTCACTCAGGCTGAAACTTTCCTCCCAGGAGTGGCTTATCTGCATTGCGTTCTGCACCTCGCGCTCGTGGACCGTCTCTCGGTTGATCAAGTCCATGCCTTCCTCCTGTTTGATCTGGTGCAAGCGGCTGCTGTGCATGCGGACGGGGGAGGCCGGTAGCAGAAGGCCATGGCGGTTCGGGAACGTTGTGCTGTTCCGCCTGGCGCTCGGCGCCTCGGCCTGGAACACCGGCGAAGTGTCACTGAGGCCGTGGATAAGGGGGGCGCTGTTAGACCTCCTGAGGCCCCCGCCGCCGCCACTGCCGCTGCCCTCCGCGGGGCTCCCGCCCGTACCCGGAGGCAGCTCCAGATCTAGCTCCATCTTTTCCTGAGCCATGTCGGGGGGCCAGGGGGGCCGGGGCGGTGCTCAGTCAGAGAGCTAGAACTCCCATTCCCCGCAGTCCAGGTCCGCCGCTGCCGCCGCCACCACCGCCACCGAGAATCTGTCAGCGGTCTCGATCCTCTACGCATGCGTACCCCTTTGCGCAGGCGTTTTGCGATATTCCCGTGGCGCCTATCTAATGCGTCATAGCTGCGCCACAGCCCTTGGGGGAGGTGCGAGGAGTGGTTGGGCGGCTAGGAAGTTTCCTTCCGCAAATTGCTATTGAGCGTAAGCTCACACTAAGACGTTAATAAATTTGCCGTATTCACTAGTATATATTTGTTAAGTAAGAGCTCTGAAAAAGAAGCCGTTGGTGACGTGGGACTGTGTGAGGGGGAGTGGCGCTTGTCCTAACCAGAGAAGGCTTCACTGAGGAAGGGACAATCTCAAGATGGGAAGAGGCAGGCGAAGTGGGTGCGGTGTAGAACCATCGAGGAAGCAGAAAGCTAAGGCTACCAACCAGGTGGCAGGCGGGAACCAGGATCGGGGAGAGGGCTGGCGTGACGGGAGGTGGTGGAGCAGGGTAGATTCTCGTCTTTATCCTGAGAACAATGAAAACTCCGAAGGTGTTCAGGCAGGTGTATAATAGCGACTGAAAAGCTCGATGGCTGCAGTCGGGAGAATAGATTATTGGGAGATTAGAATTTACGGGGGGGGGGGGGGGGGGGGGGGGAAACAGGAGGGAACCCTCTAGGCCACAGAGCATGAAAATTTGCACTGCTGTGGAAGTGTGGGAGAGAAGATGGATGGAATGGTAAATTTGAGAACTACTTGGGGAAAAAACCTGTAATTGTATTACTGTTTTATTTACAGTCATTTCTTGCACAAGCGTAGGTATTCAATAATATTCAATATGAGGGGTTAAATTAAGGGAAAACAAACAGGTTTTCACACTTTAAAAAACAACACTTGGCTCATGAAAATTAATATAAATTTTGGTACCTTATTAAAATGGGTTTATATTTATTCCTTTATGTATTCATTCAGTCTGGGTTTTTTTTTTTTTTTGTTTGTTTTGTTTTTTTTTTTGGCATACCTACTGTGTTTCAGGCACTGTGTTAGGAATTATTAGACCTAATAGGAGGACATTTAGTTTCAACCAGGAGGGCAAAGAGATAAATAGGCTATTTTCAGGTAATAAAAAGAGAAATAAAACAGGGTATGATAGAGTACTACTTACAGAAGGGAGGGGGCAATTAGGGCTGAGATCAAAATGACAAGAAGCAAATCATGCTAACATCTGGGGGATGAATATTTCAAGAACAGAGCACAGCAAATGCTAAGGCCGAAGGCAGACATGAGTTTGGTGAGCTGGAAGGAAAAGAAGGGCCATGCATCTACAGCATAAGGGGGAGAGTGGTAGGAAGTAAATGTGTTTGGATCTTGTTCTAAGCATGATGAAAAGCCACTGGGGGGCGGGGGGAGGAGGTTTAAGCAAGAGAGTGATATCTGGTTTACGTTTTCAGTATCACTTTGGCTCTGGAAAATAGTTTGAAAAAGGGCAAGAATAGAGGCAGAAAGATGTATTAAGAATCTTTGGCAACAGTGCAGACAAGAGATTGCTGGACTAGGGCTGTAGCACTAGATATGTTTTTTAAGTATTTAGAACCAATAGGGTTTGATTTAGATGGTGAAAGAAACAGATGATTCAAAGGTAACTCAGAAGTTTTTTGTTTTTTTTTTAACTTGAACTAGCTAAGTAGATGATAGTATCATTTACTGACTGATACAGAAGGAGTATGTTTAGACAAGTAGAAATTAAGAGTTCTGTTTTGGTCAATTTTAGTTGGAGGCAATTATTAGATATCCATGTGGCTATATGAAGTGAAAGAAAGCTTAGTGATTTTTGCTCATTCCCCCCCCCCCCACCCTTTTTTTGGCAGCAAAGAAAAGATCCAGAGAGGCTATGTGGCAACCAGTACCAGAATCCAGGTGTCTTGGTTCCTAGTCTATTCCTCTTTCCACTGGATGTCAAACACCTTGTAATTTGAATTCCCTGGAAAATACAGGTCCGGATAATAAAAATAATGTTGATTATTCATGCCCAAGATTGTAGAGAAACTAGTTTAAGCTTTCCAAGTACCAGGCACTATTCAAAAGGCTTTACATGTAGTATATCATTTAATCCTCACAACAACTCTATGAAGTAGGTACTATTGCTCTTATTTTGCAAGGGAAACTGAGCTGCAGAGATTGAGTAGTATCCTCAGGATGACAGTAAGGAGTAGGACCTGGATCCAGAGCTTGGGCACAATGTTGCCAAAGCTGACGTTTCCACTTCTAAGTTCTTAGCAGCTTTGTAAAGGCAATGGCTTTTGACACAGGCTTTGTAGGATAGGTATGATGATAATATAAAGAAGACATTTTACATAGAAGTGGCAGCATGAAAATAAAATAGTGAATTTGGCTAATACATGAAGTACATGGAGAAGCATAGTTACGGGTATAAAACTTGGAAATACTGGAGTGAGAGAACTGGAGCTCCGAAAGCCAGGCAGTAGCATCTTTATTTAATAAGTGAGACAATAGGGAACCATTGAAAGTTTCTGATGAGCAATGACACAATGAGAGCTATACTTTCAGTAGGACCTACCAGGCAGATCAATGATGTAGCTAAATGGAAGGACAGAAGATGAACCAACATTTTCTAACTGCCTGCTACCTGCAATGCACTATAAACACTCCACAGTCCCTCTTATCCTCACTGCAATCCCATATATTAGATATTGTGCTCATTTTATAGGACAATGACTGAAATTAAAAAATTGCAAAAGGTGCTACAGCTATACAGACTAGCACAGACCTGAACTATTTTGAATCGATGTCTCATTTCAAAATCTGTATGATTTTTGCTGCATTTACCATGGAATAGAGAGTTTGATGGCTAACTCTGAGATGAAAGTAGGGTCTAAACTAAACTTGGGAATGGCCAAAAAAGGAGATGGATTTGGAGCCAGCAAGGTATAATAACAAGAGCCTGACTGCCTGGTTGTACAGAGGATGGGGAGAGAGGAGTCACAAATGACTGAAGTTCAAGCATGAGCTGTGGAAGGAATGACACAATGTTATTAAAAAAGAACAGAAGAAAGAGGAGAAAGAGCTTCAAGAGGAAAATTAATGTTAACTAGACAAAATAATTAACTACAGGGCTTCTTTTACAATATCCATACCATATTGCTAATGCATATCACTAAATTATTTCTAATGTCACTCAAATATGCTGACACTGTTCATCTGTGTCTGGGTAAACACAATTATTTTAACTAATAAAACACAGGTGGTGGTAAGTCCACAGTATCAAACATCTCTGCCATTTGGTTTTTGCCTGAACATACCCATTAGAGATTTTCACTTGTTTCTGTTTCCACTCTTGTTTCTACCGTCAATTTTATGCACATTGTCCAAGGTCATCAAAGAAAAGAGAAGAAAAGAGAAAAGAAAAGAAAGAAAAGTCACTTCTCTTCAAAATGCTTCAGTGGACTCCTGCTCCGAGAAAAGGCTCAGGTTACTACAATGATCTGCAGAGCCCTGCTGTAGAGCCCTATTCTAATCTGGGTCCCACCTCTATCTACCCACCTCTCACCACCTCCCTTAAACAGCAGTGGCCCCCTTACTGTTCTTCAGGTCACCAGGCATACTCCCCCTCCACTTAGCTTATTCTTCTTCCAATGGATGTCCACACTGCTCTACCCTTCAGGTCTCTGCACGAATGTCATTGACTCAGAGATCTGCTCTGACTTTCCTTATAAAAAGCTACAACAGTTCCCAACATCAAGCCTATATTCTCTTGGCCTTTAGTGTATTTTTATTTTCCTCCAGAGCACCACAAGACATATAGGTATATATTGTTTTTCTCCCCTTATACTCAAGAAGTTCAGCTCCATGACAGCAAGGCCTTTGCTTTGTTCCCAGCTGTATGCCTAGTATCTGGAACAGGGCCTTGTACATAATACTGAACAAGGGGTTGCTGAATCATTGTGCAAGTGAATGATGAATGAATGAATGGACTAACATAGCTTTGTCCAAAGGGAAGAAAACTCTAGCCTAAGCTTTTCTAGACTGATTCGGAGTGCTCCTTACTTTGGCAATTAGTTTTGTTATATCCAGAATATTATTAGTTATAGTGCCCTCCAGACCAAGCAGGTCATGGTCTAACTACCTATTACGTGAACTAAGAAACTGAAGCCCTAAGTTTCCATTTTTTTCAACCATATGCTGATATACACTTGTTATAATTGAAATGCTCAGTGCTGAGGATTCTAAGCAGTGTTCACTATATTGAGTTACTGCTTCTTTGCAAAGGAATAAATGAGAGAAAATAGTAGCCATAAAATGCAATTCAGCCCTTTACAAAAAATAATGCCAGAGGCAAGTCCCAGGAGATCCTTCCTGAGTCAATTTGTCCTTCTGGTTTCAATATGGATATGAATTAAATACCATACTTAGCTGGTATTCATGCTCACTCTTAAGTCATAAAATCAGGCATCTAGTCAATAGTTAAATTTTACTGTGATTAATATTATACTTTCTCAAACTAACAGTTTCCTTTTAATCCTAGGGACAGGTTTTCACTATTAAACCCCCAAGCATATCCACATTGAATTAATGTGAAATACAGACATGTATATGTACATGTATAATCTGTGATGAACTGGAAAATATCTCCAAATATATTAACTAGCACCACCAACCTAGACTAACAATATTGCAGAGGAAAAATTATGCTTTCAAAGTATAGGAACTTGGGAGTGTTACCTGGTACAACCACTGAGGAAAAATGTTTGGTAGTACAGCACCTACTGAAAGAAAATATATATTCATGTTTTATGATGAAGCAATTGCACTCTTGGGTATATATCCAAGAGAAATAAGTGCTTATGTCTACTAGAAGACCTGTACAAGAATGTTCCTGGCATTATTGTTTGTAATAGCCCCAAACAAGAAACAACCCAAATGTCCCAATCCAAATTCAAATGGATGGCTACATTATACAATAAAGTTCTTTACTGAACAACAAGGAGGAGTTACAGTATAATGTTGAATGGAAGAAATCAAACACAAAAGAATACAACACTATGA